CACACACACAAACGTCAACAGTTGGTCGACCGAACATAAAAGCCGCGGCTGCGACAATAGCAGCGGCGGCGGCAGTGGGTGTGGGAGGAGAGACCATAGACACAAGGGACACAAACAAAACGGATTACATCGGCGTAACAGGCTGGAAATGAAGTGAAGTCACATCTTCTCTATTTGTGAGCGAGTGGACGAACGAGATCCATCCATTCATCCATTGGGGTTCGAATTCGGAATCGGTCTACCGTCTACTTCCTCTTCATGAACTGGAAATCCTTGACTCCCCCTAAGGTATAACCTTCAACTGAGGCAGAACGGATATATGATGCTCCTTGATCTCTTGAGCGAACAACGGAACTCTGGGAGCAAGACCTGTGCACTGATCAGTTGGATTGTTCCAACAGATCGAGAAGTCAAAGGAGGACACTAGAGTCCCACCTGCTTGCGCGTCTGAGTCGTCCACTCGTCAGTAAACGTCAACGTCAACAAGTTACGCCTTCACCTTTGGACTTGGAATCCACAAAGTGTGGTAGGTGGGGGAATGAGGATCCACTTATGGTTTGACCAGTGAATAGGTAAAGTGGCGCGTGCTGGAAAGTTTCGAGTTCCTGTGGGACGATAAAGGCCAGTGAAGAGGCATTGAAATAGAATGAGCCAGTGGGATGTGATGTGCACCCCCGCCATGCAATCACAGAGTCGGGACCGGAGATGTGGACAGTGTCGAAGTGTGGGCGAAAAGAAGGGGCGGATCGAGGGGATTGGGGTAAGTTTACACAAAAATTGAAAATGGTGTCAACATGCAAGAAACCAAACACCACCATACAAAAGAAGACGAAGAAAGAGGAAGAGGAGAAGAGGAAGCAGAAGTATGACCTTTTCACCAAGGAGACATATTTGTAAATGCTAATTTTAGAAAACCGGGGACTTGTCATTTCATTTTACTGCATGTGTGTGCAGCGATGTAAACATGTGTGAAAGATGCTATTCCATCCAATGCGAGATGGGATTAAGTGTTTTCCGTGATTCAACCTTACTATGACCAAAATTCCCTCTGTGCCAGAACCGGCATCACCTAAAGGCGGTTTGGGTACGATTTTGCCACCTCAGAATCCTTCAATAATAGTTACTTCGACAGGAGTATTTCAAGACAGTTTCCGGAAGTTGGTAAACAGATTTGTGAGTAGATATGCTACCGTTCAGATACGATCACAGAGAATAAGTAAAGAACCCCAAAAACTGATTCATGAAAATAAAGGAATGGCAAACGAAGAGAGTTTAGTAAAGGCGCGTATAACTGCTATGGCTGCTTATGATCCTATAACCGACGACAGTTTACAGTTGAGCAGAGTGGATGCTGCAGGAGAAGCGTCCAAGCAACTGCTGACAGAGAGAAATAAAAGGCACAAGCACTTGAAGACTTCCCTCCCCAAAACCCGGTTCGCTTTTACGTGAACGAGGACATCCATCATCGCCTGCAGCAAAGAAACTCCGCTGTCATTGTGAACCGCCTTCTGGGGCTCACAAACCCCGATTCGCAATGTTCACAAACCCAGATAGCCCTCCGTTACATTAGAAGTGTAGAGGCTATTTAAAGTAGCTTAAAAAGAACGCATTCAAGAGGTAATTTCGAAAACAAGACATTAAAATCGAGTCTACTCTATAAAAACTCCTTCTGTGGAGTGCCTCACAACGGGATCATTCTAAGTCAGGCTTAAAAGAGTAAAAAAGTGAAATAAAAGAAGGTCTAACTTACATCAATGTTCCCAAATCTGTTGTGTCGATAGACACCTCAGTCGGTGCCGAAGAAATGGGTGGAAATGGTGAAGGCGAGCATTCACCACAGGGAGGAGGAGCTTGTTGAGGCAGCGATGTGGACGACGTCGAGCACTCTAAAAGATAATGAGTTTGGAGAACTTAAAACGTGTCAGTAAGCCAAGCTCTTCATCGCCTCCTTAGAAACCCAATATTAGATTAAAATGCAGTGGAAGAGACCCTTCATTCACCGGAGTCTCTAGATTATGAATTTACACTCAAGTGGTAGCGCTTCCAGTTACATCTTGTCTTGGAAAAAAACGGTGGATTCCTGTGATTTCCTCCCGTTAATAATACAATTTTACAGCAGAGAACTAGGTGCGTACTTGAGCAGGCGATTCTCTTCAGTATCTCGCAATTAGACTCCCAGGACCTGCCCATACCTCCTCCGAATTGGGATTAACCTTTTCTAGATCATTGTGCTCTATGGCGTCTTCATGGACGTCTCGAAATCGCCAAGGCAATTTGGATAGAAAGGCGGGAAAGTTTGCAAGATGCACCACTAATAGCAAGATTGGTGGGCCTTTTTTATGCCACGCGAATCTATCGTAACACCGTCGCTCTCAACAGACTCTCACGTGCGATTACCGCCTGGATACCACCATCCAGACCAGAATGCTTTGCAGAGCGAGGCAAATTCATAGCGCGATTTGACTGATAAAAGACGTTCCAAGTTAATCAACTCGAAGCATAAGTGTGACTACGGCGATCAAGGAACGGTTATTCCACGATACCTTCACTTCTGCGTATCATGAGTGGTTTCAACAAACACTGGGGAAGGGAGGGAACGGAGTCGGGAATCACGTCCACCTTCAAAACAACTTCTTTTCTGGCGTCCGAGGTCTACTTCAAACTCAAAGTGAATCTCCACCATGGGGAGCGTGGATAGACGGTAATAGAGGGCATGAGTCATCAGCACAGCCCCGACACCCCTCCAAAGGCCAATCAGTAAGCAACCTGCGTCAACATGAGTCATCCCGCACTCCACTCTCTCAGCCCGTATGCAATCGTGCGTATTCACGTCGCGCCGCGTCGTCGTGTTGTGTGCTGTGGGGGGTTGATGAAGGTGGACGGACGAAAATAGTAACCAAAACCACGTAGACACCCGCCGCCAGGGTGCTACACCCCCCACTTCTCATTTTTATGACATTAACGGCTTGGTGTGAGCACACAAGTCTAAACATAGAACACAATGTCTAAAGAATTGTCAACTGACAGTGGAAGGCTTCTCGTCGTGGACACATTGCGGTTTTGCGCACATTCAATAATGACATCGAAAAGCGATCGGATAACCTGAAAAGTTAACTAGATGAATCGGTGAATTTAATCACCAAGACTGCGGGTGAATTCGACAAGGTCTGTGTGCACAACGATTCAGGAGAGGCACGACCTTAAAATTATCGAAGCCTGCGCCTTTGGGGGCGGCTAGGGATGTCCAAAAATGACAAGCACACCGGAAAGGGGTACAGCTAATCAACCCACGGCGTTTTAAGCTACCGGATGCTAATCAACTGCTAAATTCAGTGAAATTACTTGACTACTTCATCTAGAAACTGAATAAGAGGGAATTCTAACGATCCAGAGGACATCACCCAAGCCCGTAAATTCAACGAATCCCACCAAACTTCAAATCCACGATGAAGCTGAGAATCAAGCACATCACAATAAAGTTGATTGGATGATGACGTTAGGGACAGTATAACCGGAAAGGAAGGAATTCGGTGGACGCATGAAGTAGCGAAAAAAAAATCGCCAGAGATGATGAAGCACAATCTGACAGCTTAGTTCGGGTTCGGTGAGAAGCTACTAAATATAAACACAATGGATGGAGGATGCAAGGTGGGTGTGCGACACTACCCTATAAAGGGTAAACAAAGGACATGTAGAGGGAACCGTTTCATCATCAATTAGGAAGTGTGGCTTGTACAACAAGATGTAAATAACCACACGCAAAGACACTGCGTGAAATAAGCATTGACAACAAAGACAAGCCTGGAAGGAACTCCACTACCATAAAATACCTTACCGCTGAAAGAAAACAATCAAACCTCAACGGTTTTCGTCACACTTCACTTCCTGTCTGCCCACACAACTTCGCTAGAGAAACACAAAAGACGAGGAGGAGACACGGCTTTGAGTTTTACTGTATCAAGAATGAAGATTTCAATCGTCATGGCCTGACCCTCATCAAACGTGGTGCTCTGGGGACGAAATGGAGTCAGTCGTGGAGGTGTTGGTGGTCACTAAGCCATTGTCATTGTTCATGGCACGATTATTTCCGAGCAATTTAACCTCCCAGTGATGCACAAATCTTTATTATTAAGCATGGAGGGAATTCGCCTCTCCCACTCAAGTAGTTGGTTACGAGAAGCCAGCTTTTGCAGCCCCAATTTCACGACCTAGCTAGACCGGATTTGATGGAGTAGACAAGCTTGAATCACATTCAACGGATTATTTTAACTGACATGTCATGATATGAGGCGGCCAAATAAGGGAATTATGGCACGAAGGACATTGCGACGATCCCTACCAAAAACCGTATCTGTTTCGGCAGTGGCCTTACATACCATCCATACACATTCAATATGACTGAAGAAGTAGGAAGTGAAAATAGACCCTTTGACCTCAAGAAAAACAATGTCCGGGAAATGAAAGGAGAGGTGTACAAAGATAAGAATGGTGGGGAGTGATGAAAAACACTAGGTGGAGGGAGAACGCAAAGAATCTATAAACGAATAAAGGTACTCAAAAAATTCCTGATAGGACAAAAAGATGGAAAGTTATGGATTGCGAATTTGAAGTCGGGTAGAGCCTCATCGATACACCAATCCGGAAAATATAGGCTTCAAGGACTTTGAGTTTAACATTGCAAGAAAACTTAAGCCATCAACTGACTGCATGACCTTGTGACTGCAGACAACCATCGAGGGGACGGGGAGATGAGACTTCGGCCTGAATTGGGATAACCTGGCGATCCATCAATCACTGCGACAAAAGAAAAGTAGCAGTTCAAAATTAGGCTCTCAAACAAGCTCTCCTCAATAGCTACCTCCAAATTACCGCCTTTTGAAAATCAAGAAATGGGGGGATCCCTGTAGGATCTGCAGTGGCCAATGGAAACGGGGGGATACTGATGCGGCGAAAGGTAGTTTAACTGAGGTAGGAGAATTCACAAAGAACATGAAACGAGGAGGAGACAGACGGGACTGAAATTTGAGCCACAGCAAGGTGCGTGTAACCCAGAAACCACTGCAACCGATCCCGCAAATTCCAACAATTATGGGGAACCAAGATGACCGTTTAAATCACTGGTCGAATGGCCCAGGTAAGTATCGTAAAAAGGGTTATTATTACCGAAAACAACCGACTCTATTTTCATAGTCCATAACTCGCTGATGGTTGAGCAAAAAAGGGGTTGAAAGGCTGATAAAACTTCATGAATAGGCCAAGAGCGATTATAAAATCTGTGGCCTGATAGTTACAGACGATGGGCGTGTCCTCTGGGAGCTTTCCCTGAGAGTAAATTGTCAAATGAAGCCTTTTTTCCAACCTCACAAATCCACCGACAAAAGGACCATAAACCTTAATTGCATGGTCAAACAAAAAACATTAAACGCTTTACGCCTCGGCAGTGGAGTAACAATCGTGAAGGAATAGTTTGGTATTGAAACACTAGCCGATTATTAAACACAAGGGATGCACGAAAAAGTATTGCTTCAGTTGGAGAAAATAGAAGCTCTTAGCATCTCACTTCGACAGATAAAAAAGCAAATGGAATAGCTTCGGCGGTAGAATGGAATGACGAATGAACTTAAAAGTGATTGAAAGGGGAGGAATTAGGTAATCGAAGTGTTAAAACTACTGGAAAAGGGAAAAATGGCTGTTCAAAAGTTAGTAGTATACACTGGTGAACTCACCCAGTTGCGATGAGAGCGAGTGTCGCTGCAGGAAAGGGGGGTTATGCTGGTAACGTTTGGAAGGCTGGTGTTCTGGACTCCAGCCAGACGCGATCGGTGACGACGCCTCATGTTGCTGCAGCGAGAGGCGCTGGATAAGATTGACCGGCTCCTCGTACAGGGGCGAGGTGGCGGTCTCACCTTCAGCCTCAGTCGCCGTCTCCAAGGAGGTGCGTTGAGAGGGTCCATAGGGCGTGGCATAAACGGAGGTGGTAGAGGAGGAGGAGGAGAGACGAACATCGTTGGCTGAAGGCTTTTGGAGGCGTCTGTGGACGAACAGTGGAGAAAGAGAACTCCAATGAAAGTTGGCCAAAACGAAGTAGGTGAGAGGTGTAGGAACAGGATTGAGGTTTACGGAAGCACCACGAAACATCTACGGAACACATTTTCAGCGCGCATTTATTTTGGAACGCAATAAGTAATCCTAGACCCTGAATTCATGTAAAAAACATCCTGCCATGTTGCTCTATTGCAAATAAGCGGTAAGAAAGCGACCTACGAGGAAAGTGAAGGAGCTAGAGAAATGTCACGTCAACTAGGCAAAGAATTAGGGAAAAAATCACAGTCAGCATTGCACTAAATTCCTTCTGTCGACAACACTCGAAGAGGAGGCGGTGGCATGGGGGCTAGGAGGGAAGCTTCATTTGTTGCAGAGGGGGGCTGGTAAATTAATCACGAACCTCAAGAAACCGACTTAGGGATAATAAACAGATCAGATCAAGGAGTCTTGATTGTATCACGTGACTAATGAGGGGAGCGTTGACGTGCCATTTGAGCGATGGGTGCAGCAAAAGGCAGGAATTTGCTTAAGGCCGGTCAAGAAACAATCAGAGGTCAGGTATGATTTAATTTGAAGGCTAAAAAAGCTGTTCGGCCCAGGAGTAAAAAAGCCGCAAAAAGTGAATGATTAATTCCTACTGCGCAAAGTCGAAAAGACAGTCACGAATTGCGCTTGTCATCATTCTACAAGCAAAATATCAAGCCCGATGGTTGGAAAGAAAAGCAAAATTTTCTCCGAGTCATTTTGGAGGCAAATTACCCAGAAGAGAAAGCGCAATCACAAAGCAATTGTTTGGAAATCGCTTGCCGCACTGAATGCGGTGGAGGAGGAGGAGGTCACACGGAAAAAGGGGAAGTCAACGGAGAGAACCAATCACACCTTTTGGCGGGGTGATTCCAAGGGGGAAGAGGATGTCAAAAAAGTCCTGGGAAAAGGAATTAGAGTGGGATGGGCTCGAGAGGAAGCAAAACAGAGCAACTGCACCTCAGTATCTCCATGCTAATCCAAAAAAGACAGAAATGTAACCAAGCGACAAAATTACATCTCATTCGCCAGTTTTATGAGGTTAACCGAAGTCAGTAGTGGCAAGAGGGGAGGTATCATGCCCGTCACTAGCGTCTCCATTTTGACGCAACGCCCCATCCCGATTTTCCCATCTGAGGTCTTCACTTCATCCACATATGCGACGCAATTAAATAAGGGGAGGGGAGTAAGACCGGACCAGAAAAAAAAAGGACCCAATAAATAAAAGTGTCCGGGCAGTGGTGGTCAAGACACCTTGGCAACGAATAGGGTCAAGAGCATTTTATAGCATCTGGACTGAGAAGAGTGATAACTGAACCAAATGCAAAAAGAAACAAAAAAATTAACCACTTCAACTTTTGTTTGGTAAACCAAAACCCCAACCCCCTAACCCTGGGGAGATAAAAGCAAGGGGATGAGTGAATACCACACCTAAACAAAAGTCTATTTAATGGAGCATCGTTAAGCTGACGTGGTGGATAGAAAGAACTAGGATCTTTCAAAATAAACACAAAAGGCAGGAGATGAATTCAAGGCTGTGCCCGAAGCTTCACCCATATAGATGTGAATCATTTGTTTTCTTTTTCTGGACAAAAGGGGCACCCTCTTCTGGAAAACCCCTTATTATCATTAAAGCAAATTAAAAAGGGGCTTGAACAATCCTAGAGACGCCTTTAATTAGAAGGAGGGGCACTAAGAGGGTACAAGGGTAAACGTGACAGAGGAGCAAGTTCATCAGCAAAGATCTGAACAGGATAATTACGGGTTTTAGTAGTACCAGAGAGTTGGTAGATAAGGTTGCCAAAAATAAACCCGTGGCCTGGCTGTTAAGCATGCATAAATACACAATACCAATACCCTCAACATCAACGTCACATATATGTGACGCGCTGATATTCTTCTCTACACCCGCACCAAATTGGCTGAGTTCTTGATCTGACCGTAAGTACAAATGACTTAACCACAAAAAGAATTGTGACTGAAGTGCAATCAACGATATAACATCTGGGACAAATCTTCTTATTTGGCGAGAAACACATAAAATCACAAATCCACCGAGGGTGTTCACTCCAGCCTTTAACAACACCATGACTAACCGACAAGGTTCGGATAGAAAGCGCACTGAAATATGGCCACACATCTCCGCAAATTAAAGACAAAGGTTTGCGTTAATGAGAATCGGAGGGGCAGTCATAAAAACGAATGACTCCTAGGTTAAGATGTTTGTTTGTTCCGACGTGACACCACTACCGCACCACCACACCGCCTGCACCACGGAGGTGACCGCTTAAACTCAAGGAGCCAAAATCCACTTCAGTGCTCTCAACACACCACCCAATCTGCTGGCGATGCACAAGTTTGTGCAATTGGTTGATTCAGACTGGCAATGAACTCACAACGTACATCTGTGGGGGGATTGAGGGATTGCAAACCCTCAAACAATTGCCAGTAATGGAGGTGCGTGCAATGTACCGAAACAATTACACCTCTTCTTCCCAAAAATCTACAAACTAACGGAGTTGACCGAAGAGCGGAGGAGTCACGAATCGCCTTGTGGTGTGGGCCATTCACTCATCCATCCATTGCCATGGCTGTTGCGCCTATGGCACCAGCACCTCGCCATAGTAACGCAACAACCGAGGTTGACATTTCAAGGGTGTGGGATACCAAACTATGGCGGAATGCCAACACACTGGGAAAGGAGGAGTACGATTTGAGGCGGAATTTGTTTTGCGGCTGCAAATCGTGGGTAGCACGAGAAGAGACTAATCCCCAAACTTCTGTAAAACTCAGTAAAGTTTTTTTTCCCGGCTAAAAAACCAAGGAGTTCATCCCACGTCAAAATAGGGTTGCGTGATTAGATGGTTGTATATTTCGGTTGTCGCACTGTAGAGAAGCAGAGAAGATGGGAAAAGAAACTATTCCAAACTTGAATTAGGTAAAATCAAGTGAAATCTAGCCCGCGAGGTGGGTTCGCCACTGGCGTCACATATGCGTGACGTCCAACAAGTCACAAACGTGTACTATGCGCTCCTTACGAGCTTATAGTAAGTGGATCAAACAAATCGTGCCACAAACCAATTGGGCAGGATTAAACAAGCATAAGGTAGTCGCAGGATACCCTTGGTCGGAGAAGGAGCCGCGGCTGTGCTATATGGAAACGGTGGACCCATACGTACCTCGGGAAGGCACCCAAGGACGATAAGACCTCATTCAGTTGATTTTTCAATGAGAATGACATTCTGTACCCTTACAAAGACGATTAAAAAGATATTCGACCTTTTGCTGCCGTGATGATAAATAACACATCTTACTGGAATAGTAGCGGGAAAGAGATTTCTATCAAATGCTACAACAAGGTATTTAGTCCCTGCTACTCCCATCCTCCATGCCCTAAAAATTTGTCCATAGTGACCAGGGCGATAATCTTGGTGGCAGCGATAACCGAATTAGCTCAAACAGGAACAATCGGCCTTTTTGTTACACCTGAAGATCTTCTGAAAATTTCGGAAACTTATCAAAACCGCGTCGACTTTGGTCATCACTGCTTGGTCAAAGTGAGAATGGATGTGAGACATTTGATTGAACTGCTAACGATCTTGCCACGGACAGCTACTTGTGACATTCATTATTCACCACTCCGTCCCCTATCCACTTTTCACTCCAAAGGACGCGCAATCCAGTAGTCTCAGCCAACTCGATAGCCTACACAATCGGTAGTGGAGTAACATTTGCCTGATTCACTAGTAGTTACACATCACTAGAAGAGTTGGAGCTGTCGAGGTAGTGGCAACGGCGTATGCGTCAAAACATCACAGGAGAAATGTATCTCTACTGTGAATGGCTCCATATGAAAAGACTTTACTCCCAGGGGAGGAGCTTTGTTTCCGTCCTCCTCTTAAAACATTTTAAAGCCCTAAATCGATACAAGAGAGGACACCGCGGAGGCCTTTAAACGTTACACACGCCTTCCCACGTTCCAAGGAGGGCTAGACCCCTCAACCTGTCAGTAATAAATCAATACAATAATAGGAGGGGTGTCCTCACTGTGACAAGGGGGTAGGGGATTACGCCAAGCCATTGTTAAGTAGCCTTGGTGCACCACCTCACCATGTTGCACCCGGATTACTCCCTAAGACGTGACAAGCCTCTAACATTAGTTGTAAGTGTTCCGAGAGGCCTGGGAGACAAGTAACCTAGGCGTGGCAAGTGCAGAGCTCCATACTACCGGAGTAGAGATTGAATAGCAGACACGAACAAGGTCCATAGGGTAGCGTAAATGACCAGCTCCGTGTTTACCGTAGATTAATTCAACCCATGCTCAAGAACCACAAAATGTAGTTATTCACGAACCAAAAAACGTCCTACTTCCATTCCACTACTTCACCAAACACGACTTGGTGAAACCGCATTTACTGCAAATGGATAAACAGCACATGTCACACATACGTGACGCCAGTAGCGAACGCTGTCCATAGGTGGGTAAACCCAACTGTTTTGTCAGCTGCTAACAATCAGAAGGCAAGGTAACACTAAGTAAGCACCAAAATGCACGTTGAAAACACCCGACTTCAGAAATGAAGGTAAGCGGATCCGATTATAATGTCATGCGGTGTGCCCCAACAGAATCTCGAAGGGGGTTAAATGCCAACCTCATTGAAGTGAAAACCAAGCCTTCTTCCTTTGAGAAATGACTCCTTCGTCTTCATAAGGCGGCCTGTTGCATCGACTAATCAAAATAATTCAAAGTAAAAGCACTGGAAGAAAGAGGCAGCGGTTAGATAACCCATTAGCAAATCCTGGAACAGAGCAGTTGTATTGCACTACTCTACCTCCGCCGTGAAATACGATAGCCACACACTCGATACCGTGTTGCAACCACGTCACAGCGTCGAAGAGGGATGTTAACGGCGAGGCTTCATTAAACGCAATTGGCCAACCATACACTACTGAAATGCCCTTCAAAGGCAAATCAGTAGCAATCCGTCACTTGATGGTAGTACTCAATTGCCTTTGTTGACCCTTACGCCTAGGTTAAACTAAGCAAGGGAACAACAGCCTCAGGAGAGAATCGAGTTTCAATGAAAAAGGGGATTTATGATTTAAGGCCTCAAAAAGCCATGGCAACAGCACAGCCCCATCAAAATTAGTCAGATACCGCATGGCGTGACACCATCGAGGTCAAATCGGTCTGCATGGCAGGTCAGGGTAAGGAGTAAACAATATATATCGTCGAGGGGTTGTGGAGGTGACTAATTCAAGTGTCACAAGGCCTACTGCCAAAAAAGGTGGCTGAGAGGGTAACATAGTAGAATGTAACTAAAAGGATCAAGAAAAAGGATGAAATCCTGGCAGGGGCTATAAAGACGAGTAAGCCCAAAAAGTACTATGGCCATAGCGAAGATGCATCAACACTACCGCAAAAATAGCTTCTTGACACATTCCCGTTCCTTTGTGAAACCCTGGCAACGGTAGTGAATGGTGCGTGACTGAGGTCAGGGAAAATGAGGGCGTCACATATATGCGACGCTGGTAGAGAACGTGGTGAGAGCCTACTAACTACAGCCGAAAAACAAACCACTGTTTCAAGGACTTCAATAATTTGTTAGTTTCTTTCAAGAGGAAAAAAAAAGATAGAGGATGTGCCTTCCGCCAGACTTCAGAGCAATGAAGCAGGCCTCGTTGAACAGTCTACTAAACACGGGTCACTGTAAATGATAAATGAGATTGCAGACTCACAGAGACTGTGAAATTGTAACCGCCGGAGGCATCGAATGTCTCTTCAACCGACGATGGTGGGGGTGTTGCATTAACTGCGGGGACGCCGAAGCTGACAGCGGCGACATCCCAAAACGAGGTGGAGGCGGTGGTGACGGACAGGGACCAAAAGTGAGTAAATCCAAATGCTCCAACAGGACCTGGCGTCTCTCCTCCACCTGGGGAGGCAGAAAGTGGCAGGAGAGATCCTCAGCCAGAAAGGAGCGGACCGCACTCAGTACTGCTGTTGAGAAGGAGTGAATAAAAGCGGTCACCTAGTTGGTAGACAAACTTCTCTGAACGGGGTCATCATGTGTGGAGCCTCCGCTTTGCCAGTATTAAGGCGGCAATTGATACCCTCACCAGATGAACTACTTTTATTCTTTTCAGAAACTATATAACCCTGCATATCCCCTCCTCTAAATTGAAGGGTGTTGGAAACAAACTATTCTGATATCATACAGCGTAGTCAAACTATTGAAGACCTTTTCATTTACGACCCACGGTTTTCAAGATTTAAGACACGTTGGGAAAATAAAGACATCCATTAATTCTAAGCGTAGAAGCTTATCCGGATGAATTGAATCCTCCTCTACTGAAGTTGGAACATCAAATCAAAAGGTCTATAAAACAGAGATGCCAATGAGGACCTCGATATCTCTATACCTACAATAAGGTGGCTTTCGGAGTTGCATCCCTCATAACGTCCTAAGAGGACTTGGAGGAGAAGCGGGTAAGCCCCAAGAATGAAACGTTCTTCTAAATTAGCACTAACTGAGGTAAAGAACTCCGACACGGCATTGAAATGAGAAAATATTCCCAAAAAATAAATGGATAGCATTACGAGGAAAACTGGGATCCATATCAATAACTAATTTCTCTCCATTCCACTTTAAATCGGTCGGCTTTCTCGACCACTACTTAGTGGATCGCGTTTAAAGAGGAGTTGAAGAACGTTCAGGTTGGTGTTCAAAGACAGTAAAGATTTATGATAGCAATGGCCAGCGGCAAAATTGGGAGACTTTAAACAGAAAATGGCCTAAAATGCGATATCCTATCGGCGAATGACAGGCCTTTGCGAAATTCAACTCCGTTCAAGGGTCAATTAACCATCAAGCACTTACATTCAAATGGCTGAACGCTTTTCATCGCCTAAAACTGAGTGGAACCGGAATCGTTAAAACCGTTTTTGCTCTTAGGTAAAGCGGTAACGTAGGACAATAACATCTCCCAACATTGCATCAGAAGGGAATGCCTCGGGTACGCAGCCGAGTGGCAGGAAAAAAAATAGAAAAATAACCATTTTAAGCAACAGAGAACGCTTGGCACCAAAACTTGACTAGGAAAAAGAGCCTTGGGCCACAGTACCTCCAGGTAACACAAGAAGCTAGACTTAGATAATCCAGTAAACGAAATAAGAATGCTGGAAAAGTGAGGGGAGGGGGGAAAACTCAGAAAGTTTACCTATACCGTAAAAGCGACTATAAGATAGGTACAAAACTGCGCTCTATATCCTTCACCTAACAGGAATGGTGAGAAAAGACTGAAACACCCTAAAAATGATCTTTACTTATCTGATGGGGAATGTGAACGCTAGAACCCAAATTCTGGTAGCTACGATTCAAACTCATCCTATTGCATCACAGTGGTTGTGAATAAGGAGTGCAAACATATCCGGCTACAGGTACGTTTTCCAACTCCATGGCTATACCGGGATGAAGATGGTTCAAACCTGAACACCATATTCATACGTAGATGAATTAACATCGGGATCGAATAAGACGGTTTTAGGGACGAAGAGTAGAATCTTAGGAATATGCCATATTCTAATATCACAAAGGTCTTTAGAAAAAGTCAAAATCATTGGGTCATGTAAAACAATCTTCTTACATTTTAACGGAGGATTTAAAATACTAGCAACTTAGAGCAAAAAAACAACAAACAAGTATAATGCCAATGGCAGAAAAACAGGAGGCTGATGAGTACAAAAATCTAAAAACACACCCTGAAAGTGCAGAAATATTGGTGCAAAGATAAAGGTTCTCAACAATGGCAAAATAAATGAGGACCAATTTAAGCCAATGGACACATGTCTATATTGCACGAAAATGAAAAAAGTATGACACATCCCCACCACCTAACAAACTTAAGAGATTCGTTGGTGAAAACTGAGTCAAAAGTGGTGGAAAGCAGTAAAATCTCACAATTCACAGGATCCATCCCCTCAGAACAATGCCTGTCCCAAACTGCGCGCTTTATAACAGCCTTACGGAAAATCGTAAGCGCTCAATTCAAATTAAACCACTTCTTAGCAGTTAAAAGAAGGATTGGCTGAATTAGAATATCCAGGAAAAACAGTTTAAAACGGGTTGATAACTGTAAAATTTTAGCTTGTTGCATAAAAAATTATTTATTTCATTGAAGGATTATTTGAAACATGTGATGCATCTAAAATGCAGCATTTCAGCCTTTCCTGAGGTCATAATAAGCTATACGAATCTTGGGTATCTTCTATAAGCATGCAAAGTGAACAATTAAATAACACAAATCTGCACAAATGATTGATTCTCCATAATGATTAGCCAACTATTGATTTGTAACCCAACTCAGATATAAGCTGTTTTTGTTTGTAAAGTACCATTTTTATTATCCCAAATAGGAGGTAAAAACACTTGTCGGGAAGCATTCATGACCTTATTATGGAGTGTCAAGAGTTGGCATACATTTTGATGTTAACTTAGACTATTTGCCATCGTTAGTCATCGTAAACCGTACTGTAGCGTCCCGAGACTCCCTGAAGACAAAAGAAGACAAAATACTTGGGCAGCATATATATATTCAGCATGGAGAAGGTGTCTGGGCTATTGGCATGGCCCAAAAGGCCAGCCCACCCAGCGAGGTACAAGGGGGCTAATTCGAAGTACAAAAGTGGCGCCTCACCAGAACCGAGGGATAAACCACTATCGTATTACAGTACTTAGGCATGACGGAGCAATTTTGCCTATGTTCATATATTTACAACTCTTCTTTTACGTATGGATCATTACGATGCCGTAAGAGACTCTCATACCCATATTGATATATCCGTTAAGGGGATTCAACCAAGGTAATGAAGAAATATGACTTTAATTCCCGTTTTGCAAGCCATGGATTGACAATTCTGTGAAGATCCCACCACGGTAGGACTAAAGTAGAATCTTCTTTCCATGCAAACTACAAATGGCTATGGATAGCACCGAATGTCTGCGCTCAAAAGGGATCTGTTTTAATACACACTTTAAGCAAGCCCCCGTTATCTTCTGTGGATATCACAGCCCCGTGGCCACACCTATGACCTTCCAACCATCCTTCAGTCCAAAAGTAAATAATCTCGCCCGCCAATGTGCCTTCTAACCATTTTAGAGGCAGCCTGGGAGTTCACAGGGAGTCAAGCCTGAAAAATCTATGGTACCCTGCATATGAGGTGGGGTTCTGCACAAAATTCCTTAGTTTTTGTCCATCCACTTTTTGTTTTAAATGATACAGCGTCAAGGCGTTACGCCCTACTTAACAAACTTCGGCAGCGGTTTTTAAACCCACGGGTTCACGTTGAGAATTAAAGTGTTTTACGGTCAACCTGCTCAATATTTCTGCGTTTTTTTCCGTTGCTTAATCTCACCACGGCATCTCCCGTAGATTTCGGTAGGATGATTTTTAAAAAAGAAACCTTTATCTCAACAAACTAGACAAAGTTGTGCAGAAAATTGGAAACATGGAAAAAATAATAGTAAAAATGGCTCCAGAAGCAAAAATGGGCGTTTTAAGTAGGTTTGCTACTTTATGGGAAGTTTGCGAAGCCAGGAAGAAGGGCGGCTGATGGGAGGAGCTGTCCGACGGGGGTAATCATGACGACAAACGTGTTATCGCGCAGACTGCAGAGGCGACAGTGGGTTAGCATGAGAGCGGTGTCATTGGGAGTGGCAAAGACGGCGAGGTATGCGGCGGTCGCCTCTTGACCGATGGTTGGAAGAGGTAGGAATTTTGGCGGACTCTTTGAATCAATGGAAAAGGGATTAATTGCACAATTTGCTAGCCAATTACCAGAGCTGCCTTTGGAAAGTGTAGCACAGGTGACTGACTCCGAAGTGGTCTTTGCAACTGCCAGAATTTGCAGCAATTATTTACCCAAGTCGTGCGTCTAGCTTTTATTCAATGCCCTCCAATCGGCTTCTGTTTGAGAAGTCATCGAAATCTCGCCCTTAGTTTTGATCCGTGACTTGAGAGATTGGTGTCAAATCCTAAGGTACAGAAGGTGCTACCCATGAGTAATACGTACCCTATGAATTCAGCACCATAGGTAGGATCATACCATCGCCTTCGCGTATTTGGCCTACTTACCGAGAGGAGGTGGATGACAGGGGCGTAGAGTGAGACGAGTTCCTGTTGGGTGACATTTCTTGGCAAGCCGGTGATTCGCAAAACACACGAGTTGGCAAAATCAGCCAGTGTGGAGGTACCGTCCAAAGGCAGACCCATCGGCAAATTTCCAAGGGGTTTCTGTGGAAAAATGGCTGACGGATTTACCTGTGGCTCCATTCCAACGAGGCCAACAACCTGGAGAGCTAGAGATAAACGGCGCATTGTAGTGGGTGTCACCGCATCCAAAGCGGTTAATCTTGAGGGCAAATTGGGTTGACTTAAAGTACTTACTATAAACAGCCGATTTGGGTGAAACACCTTTTAGTAATTTTCGGGATAGCGATTTACTTGCAACATCTGTGGTTTACCGCCTTTAATACAACCTAAAGTCCTGCATAGATGGATAGATTCTCATCTAAATCACTTTTTATTTAATAAGCGTGTTTGTTTGTTTCCTTGAGGAATACACTTCGAGTCATTAAAAATGTCGCCCAGATAGAAGTTATTAAAGTGGTTCAATGCATTCAGACTTTTAATAGAACAATTGGCAATTTTTATGCGGCACGAATGACCTTAACAGAACTATCTTGAAATGATTAATTTTGCTACAGTAGTGTGACGCTAATTTATGCTATATCAAATTAGTTAATTTAAACACAAACAAATTCATCTGAAAAGTCGAGAAGGTTAAAAATTCATAGTAGGAAGTGGGTTCTCCCTATTTGTAAGTCGCAAATTTTGAAAAAGAAACATTCGGCATTTCCAAAGGATCCAAAAGAATCCTTCAATTCCTAAAAAGGCGAAACGTAAACTTCTAGGCCTCTCTTTACCAAACCTATTTGTTGCTTGGAGCTTAGTTTATTTTGTTGTTCCACTACACTTCTTGATTCTAGCCGTTTTTAATAAGCCTGGAATCCAACACTTTTGAATTTGGAGAAGGCAAATGGATTCCATCCTCCTATTTCTTATGGCTCTTCTAATTGTAATATGAATGTTAAAAGATACACTTTCCGCCTTTTTAAGACCAAAACGCTCCTACTACATGTATAGGTTTCCCGAAATATTGCTCGTTAATGCCAACAAATTTAAGCTTTCTAAGCTTATTTTGATATTAAAACTAGGTATAATTTTGCAAATATTTACCGTTTTTTCTGGTGTAACTGGCATTGCATAGTCACAAAGCGATAGTGTGCATTCACATTTACATTTGAAGCCGCAGCCAACAACGCCTTTAGGAATTTGTTTTAAGAGACCTTCCATTTAGCCTAATGGAGCCATAAGGCGCTAGTGGAAATGGACTGCAAACTGCGTGGTACACCCACCAGCGTTCCTTGTCGGCGATCTCACTGCCATCTGCAGATTGAGCACCCGCGTCGGAGGCAAATGGGCAGGAAGTCGACTCGAGGGTAGGACGTTCAGCTGGAAGACCCTACTGTCTACCTCGAAGAGGAGGAATCGGGAGTGTAGAGCGGACCTTCGAAGTAGCTCTTCAACCGTCCACAATGTGTCCGCCAAGCTGGCCATAAGGAGGAGCCATGATCCCTCCGTCAGACAGGTCGTCTGAATGATGTCAAAGAGGTCTCTCTCTCAGTCGGTCTCTTTCACTACCCGTTGGATGATATGGTTATTACTGTCCCCACCATTCAACATCTTCACGCCTCTATGTTCATTCTTCTGTGAGTCAAGACATTCGACCATCCAACTTCTACCCATCCATGTACCTGGGATCGCCCGTCTATTCATTCATTCGTCAATCAATTCATTCCTGTCCAAGTTGAGGATCATTTGCATCTATTTTTCCTTTCATCAGTCTTTCACATCTATCTATTTTAATCAGCTAAATTCGGTCTACGTAGAATCTTTCACTAAAAAAAATGCAGAGATATGAAGGGAGAACTCAGCTCTCAGTATTAAGCCCTCAGTCCCAGCTTACGATTTTGCACATCCTGAAGACCTTGGCGTAGATATCCACTCCCAAAAACAGCCGCATTTCCTGTCGACTGAACGTGGATGGCAGATCCATGATCTGAAGGACGAACTTGGCTCCACCCGGGGGTAGGGGTCGTGGGAAGAGACATTTTGGATCCGTCGGATCAACAAATTCCGTTGTAATCGGAAAGGCTGTTGTCAGAGGAACTGAGAGGAATGAAGATGGAAAGAGAAGGGGATTGAGGAGGCTGGAGGGAATCTCTGACAATGTCAGAGCTGCTGACAAATTGGGAGTTGGAACAGAAGCAGAAAGAGGAGGTAGAGACGGACGAGGAGCAGCAGCTAAGGGTAGGGCGGGGGCAGTTTTCTTGATTGTCACTGTCGACATCGGTGGCTTCAAGGTTTTACCACCTAAGCTTACAGACTTATTGCCGATTGAGGTACCTCTCTCTTGGGCACTTTGGCACACCTCGAAGTAAGAAAACGTCAAAAAGAAAGACCTCAGTATTTAAAGCTGTACAGGATTGAACTCAGACTTCATGAGTAGTGAGCAGTTAAATCTCAGAGGAGAAAATTCCCCTGTACTTTAATCTTCCATCAACTCCTATCCTACCACAAACTCATTTAGCGCCAATTGAATCATCGTGACTCCTAAGATGCACCTGAACAGCCTCTGAAGGTGAGGCTTTGAACAGTTCTACGTAGCGCTGACCGAGGTAGTTGCGATGGCGCGTCAACGCCCGATCAGAGGCTTCGTTGTCCACAAAGAGGACAAAAGCATCCCCAGTCGGTCGGCAATCCGCGTGGGTGGCGAAGAAGATGCCATTCTCACCGTTTAGAATTTCCGCGTTTACTTGTTTGAAGAATTTAACCTAAAAGGAGGGCACAAGAGTAATGATGACTGTGAGAGCCAATGGGGGACGTGCTTTTCCGCATTTTCACTTTACCATTGGTCACCTACTGTGAACCAATCATTGGGCCTGGCCATAGTTATCGAAAGAGCCGATTTGTAAAAGGCAAATTTCACCATTTATAGGAGAAATTACACAAATGTTCTGCTTATTTAATTTTTATTTATAACCCAAATTACACGAAATTTCATTAATTTGTAACTCAAGGTAAAAGTAAGGAAATAGAATGTTAAAATTAATGGGATAGCAGGCATGTTAAACAACAGGATAAGAATTATAAAAATAGTTATGGCATACAGGTTAGAGCAAAAATTATTTTCGATTTGTGGCATTATTGATAAGCCTACCGAGTATTTACATTAAGATACTGACATTGAAAGAATAAGAAGGCACAAGGCATTAAAATATCCATCGTGTAAATTCAATTCGACTAAAATAATTTAACTTGTTCTGTGACATGGAAGCGTGGCATGCGATTACGTAAAGGCTTTGGTCGTGAGGGTCTGCGTGATTGGGAACTGGGAATTCATAAAGAAAGGATTTTCAGACATTGTGCAACTCTTGAGTTAGAGTAAAAACACCCGCAAGAGGTCGGTAGGTTCGTACTTAAAAAACAATTTTTTGCACTATGAAAGTAATTTCTTGATTCAAAAAGTGTGTTTTATCGTTAACCAAAATCGTGCAAATAAACGGTGCAATTATGGCTACTTAGTATTAGCAAGTAGAAATGTCATTAGCCTGTGGCAAGGTGTCTCACCGGCATGCATACAGAGAATTCACGGAAAGTTTTTGTTGTTTTGGACAAAATTCTATCCCAAGTTTGTCATTTTTCAAAAAGAGAACACCACCAAAACAAGCGTTTTATCTGAAAACTATCACCTCCACCATTAGCACCACAGCTGCACCAAAGCGATGTAGATTGACACTTACCTGAAGGTCTAAACCGCAGAGACATAACTTGGGTTTCACTTTTCGACGGACAAATTTATAATAAAGACAAAAGCCTGATTACGAAATTCTAAACACTGTCTCATACAATTTGCTAAGGCAAGTCATATTTGAATAACCTTTTAAAACGATCTTTGAATTTGCACGATATATTGAAATCCACATAGGAGACTTTGGTGGGTTTATGAGTAATTTTTTTATGCTCACAATGTCCGGCTTCTTTGTAGCATAAGGCAGTCCACGAATACGGACAACGATTTGGCTTTCATCCGTCAACTGTTGTAGGAAATGAGCTACCCCAGGAATTCTACCTGAAAAGACAATTGTCTGATCAGTTGTCGGTATTTTCCAATTGGTCAAACCCATCGTCAATTCTCAAACAATGAGTAGCATGTCCCTTACAGACAGCATACTGAAGGAAGAGCACTTCCGAGGTCATATCTATCTGGATATTGGGTGGCCGACTGCTCTGAGTGGTTGGCGAGTTCTCAAGACTGGCTAATACCTCGTAGTCCTCTGGTGTGGTTCTTTCACAGGCTAGTTGGGCATCAAGGTCACTCTCAAATGCTACGTAGGCAGTATTGCTACGACGACCATCGGCAATCTTGACGGCAATTCCACCGGGTCGAATATTGAGTCCACGGAAGAAAACTGCGATGGAGAAGGGCGTGGCTGTCCAGGGTATCTGGTGGATCTCCACCACAGTACCCGGTGCCAGTTTTGTGCCTTCTAGACTATTAAAAAGAGAGAGAGAATTGTGGGTGCTAGCTAAGGTGAAGATGGGACAAAATCGGTCACTTAAAGGGTTGGTAGTCAAACCCTAGTGATAACCCTTACAGGAAAACCTTTCAAGGTCGTACTTACATGTTGGCGTGTGAATACGAGGGATTAATTTGTCTCGGGGTCCCGAGGGGATATCCTGCAATAAATTTGGGAGATCCAGACAAAGTTCATTTGAACGCAGACAAGGAGGCATTAGAACGTGTTCCTACCTTCAATTACATGCCTTCGAATGGCATCACATATCAATTCCACCTTTGCTACTGGGGTTGTTGCCTTAGCAACTCCTGTATAAGCAGCATTATTGGGAAAAAGTCGCTCGTTACCATTGCTCCTCGAAAAATCACTAATTTCGAGGTACCTCCACCAAAACGATCGCTCTGAGATCGACTTTTTCACGCCCAAATGGACCATTTCATGATGAAGGCCATTTCGGAGGCCTTTATGTCCTTTGGTTACCATGGTGACAGCAGAAAGTGGACAATGCCGCTCTATAGACTGTGTCAACTGAAATAAGTGGATAGTAAACACACACGGAGAGTTGATGTGCTCACCTCAACGAGGGCTTCCTCAAAACTTGGCACAACGAAGTGATTCCCGCTTAATTGTTGGGAATTCGAATCGCCGATAACATGAAGGCTTTGAAAAAGGCACTATGAATTGCAAAAAAAAACAATAGATGCCTCAATAAATGAACATACTTCACTGCTGACATTTGATTGGCTTGTGAGGTTTTTGTCCCCCAACTCCTATTGGCTGATTCTTAAATAATTTATAATCATCCAAAATTCAAAAAAATAAATATTTATCAGACTTTGGGGAAAAATTGAAAAATACAAAAGTAGTAAAAAGTGTGTGTTAAAGGCCTGGTTTCATAGCTTTGGCATAAGACCCCATCACCCTTGAGGCTGTGAAGCCTAGCAACAGGCCTGATCACGATGTCAAGACCAACTCTTTTTGATGTCTGCCATCATTAGAGGCCACTATTGACGGCTCTAAGTAATGGCTACCTAGCTGTCTAGACTGGACGATGTATTATCTTCTGAGCAGACAGCCTCCAGTCCGGCCGTGCGTCTGACCTCCGCACCCTTTCACCAGCATTTAACTCTTTTTACCAGGTGGACAACACTTTTTACTGTAAGGGGTTTGGTGGTAAACTCAGCATGGAGAGAGCGTACAATCGAGTCCTCACACCCCCCTCCCCCACCCTCTCATCTGTCCCTCCATCCGATGTCAAGATGATAAAGTCCACGTGCGTCGGTAGCGTTGGCTACATCAACCGCCTTCAAACGACATACTGACTCATCAAGCCTGTACCACAGTCGCCCTCTTGGCCCCCAAGGCTTGCAAACAAAGCAGACAGACCTGAGAACAATGGAGGGGGCATTTGGGTGTGTACCTGCATCGGCTGAAACAGCGCGCTATTTTAGCAGGGAAGAGGCAAAAAAGAGGGCTGAGAAATGAAACTGCAAGTCGCAATTTTTATGGCAATAAAGTAGGCTATAAAAGAAACTTAGTGGCATTGCATGTGGCGAATTAAGGAAAGAATTGGGTGCGTGAATGTGGATGCAGGGATGCTTAAGTGGTCATAAATTCCACCTCGCCTTGAGCTGTCTCTCAACGGTTTCTGCTCACCAACGAGAAGTCTTTTTTCTGCATTTGCGATAATTATTGCCTAATTACGCTTGAAGTGGTAATCTGGTGGCAGAGCACCAACTCGATGCCAATATGGAGCCTGTTGATGACTGCCTACCACATTAAAGACGTCACAGAGGTGCGCCTTCTGCTCGGGTAAGTTAAAATCAGCGAAAGCTGGCAGATGGAAGAGCCACTAACCAAATAGAAAAGCAAGACTGAATCCCTACAAATTGAAAACGACTTTGCAATGTCTACCCAACCCATTTTATGGTCTGCGGGGGTGAATGTCAGATAGTGGTGGTGGAGAAACCATCGGTTCAGTTAAAAGCGCTGAAGGTCATTCGCCTTGTGCAGGGCAAAATATTTTATAAACTCGATTAACCGGTGGAGGAGTTAACATTTTATACAATTATCATCATCATCATCATCCCTGCTTTGTGGGTGATCTAAACAAACAGCGGACCGTAAGCCGATCGAGGCAGGAGGAGGTGGTGGATGACCGTCAAGAGGGTGGACTCTTTAATCTAACATCATCTTGGTGGCATAGCCTAGAGTCTCTCAGACATTCTACTCTTTCAGGCTCCAGAAATGAACAGCTAATGGAGTTGCCAGACTTGTTCGTAATTGGATACTTTCCAACCAATTAGGCGCGGGCTTCACATCCTTAAAAAACCAGCGAAAAAAGGCGTCTTTTTCAGAAATCCTTGCCTACTTCATCCAAATAACTGGATTTTGTCAGATGTTTAGCATTTATGAGGGTGTTTAGAGATATAATTATCTTTCAGATGGGCTAAATTGCACCCAGATAGGGGCAGTGCTGCGGAATAGCTGACAGAGAAAGTGAAGTGATTAGGCTGGTGAGGTAGGTGATTAGAAGACGGATAAGTTGATGTTATTTAACTGCCTCCCAAATGACTAAGCGACACTGATGCAAGATCAAGAAGTTGTGGAATTTGAAGCCGCCCTTTTGAGGGATGCATAAACCAGTCAATCACTGCCGGTGGGCTCTCAGGAGTGACATCCGGCACTTGCACTGCCATGATGGTCAGTGTAGGTGATGATACTTAGAGGAAGAAAAAAATGATTGTTTTGACTGCTACAGCCGCAAAAGGCTAAGAATCGGTCAAGAAGCTGTAGTGACTGAGGCCCGAAGTTGTTTGTGGGAGAGACTGGGGAGGAATTGGTGGCAGCAGGGTGGCGAATTAAGTCTGACGCCTTCTACCTACCAGAGCTGCAGGTGAGCGACTCTGTGAAGGTAAAACATCACAGTCTAGACACAACAGTTCTCAGGCTAGGAGCCTCTGATCTGTGCCGATGGGTGGGCTCAAGGAGGTGAACCGGAGAAACCAGACGGCGCTTTTCTGAGGGTCAAAAGGGTATGCCTGATCTCGCCTAACCTAGCTGACCTCCTCAAGAATGCCGTAAATGGTTTGGAAATCCCTTGGGAGTTCTTGCGCCATTGTTTCCATTGCCTAGGCAATGGGGCCGTTAAAATTAAAGGTTGGGGGAAGCAAAAAACCACGTCTCACCTTTCTCTCTTCTAGACTGAACAGTGCTGCGGCAATCTGGGAGATGCAAGGAGAAGTGCCATTTCTAACATATTCAACAGGAAGAAGATAATCCATACTGGATTCTTCCAATCGTGGAAATTTTGGAAGACCTTCAGTGGTCTCTATCAGACTCCGTTTTTGCGCCATTTGCTGGAAAAAGGACAAAAAATAGGCAGGTTGTCGCAATTTCTCTCATTTTCTCCAGCCAGTGGCTAAAACTTGGGACCCCTAGATCCGTTCAACTGCTAAGATCAGCTCTTTTGCGCCTCTACAACCAGCACAGGGTTTGGAGGTTCCTCAATTCGTCGCTTTTGACGAAGGGGGGAAAGAGAGAACTCTGCCTGCACCGAGCTGTACACATTGAAGATGAGTCTGTACCACCAAGACACGCGCACTTTCTACCCTATTTGATGTAGGCTGGGGTGTTGGTGTCCCCTCTTTGTCGGTGCTAATCGTCTCCGTCCCCATTGGTGCGGTCAAGGCGACGATAGCTCACCCAGGTCGATGTGTCAAAGCCAAGTGGGCAAACGTGACGTATCTAGACGTGCTTTATTTTCCCTATCCTTCAGCGAGAAGAGGGATGAAATTGTTGGTACAGGCCCCGTGCACTAAATTCGTGGTGATTCTGGGAGCCCCTTTATTGCACCGATTCAAGCCTTTTCACCGTTTTTATGATTCACCTCACTACATTTATTGCTAAGGCAAAAGGCGAAAAAAGTTGATTTCCCACGCATTTCTGCCCTCCTGAGTACGCAGTTTAAGTAATTGGATCTCCCTGAATGAGGCATCAGCAATGATGGTGGCCTTCACCGCTTCCAGCAGGCAACCAGGCGAGTAATTCAAACCACGCAGCAGCCCAACACGAGTTAGATCGGGGAATAAAAGGCGGCAAGAAAAACAAAAGGAGAAGAAATTCCATTTAAAATTAGTTTGATTTCAGCCATCCTACTAATTTAATAAATGACAGTTGAATAACTTTTACTAATTCGGCTGCTGCTTATTTTAAATCAGCGCCCATACAGGTGAGATTGTGAAGCCAGCTAACGTGAAGGTGGGATCATACAAAAGCAGGCGGTGAAAAAGGGAAAGGCACAGAACTCACGGCAGTCCCACTGATATAAACATATGGCAGCGGAAATTGTGATTTGTGCAATCTCTCTCTCTCGGTGGGTGAGCGTGTATGCGTGCTATAGAGAGCGGGCCTTTTGATTGGTCGACGAGACGACCCCCCTTCCACTGGTGTAGGAGTAAAGACGAATAAAATATATTAGACGATTTAGTCTAAAAATACACCCACTTAACCACTGACTTCATGTGTGCATGTCGTGTGCTCAAGTGTGACCTTGACGCCAATCAATAGCCGCCTGCGAGGACGTTGGAGGAACAGAGTGGAGACGAGACCAGCCCACTCGGGCCTGTTTCAACAAATAGCCGAATTTCTGGAGAAAAAGGGAAAGAGAACCAAAAAATGGGAAAAATAGGAGGAGGCAGCTAGGTTTGCATGCTTTAAGCTCATATTAAGGAAGGTACTTCGTTTGAGCTGAATAGGCTGCCACCGCTGTTTGCTAGTTTTTAGGTATGGCAGGATGTTATTAAGCAGCCAACTTAGTCAAGTGCTTTCATTATAGTTAACCTTTAATCATATTTTAAAAGAATATGCTTGCTACCGAACAGGAGTCGCCTCTCCGAAGCCCTTCATGCCTAGACACCACACTCTCGACGAATCATTGCATCGGCAAGGGGCCCTCCCTAATAAAGCAAATTTAGAATTTTTTTACTTTATCCGAGTATTGATAGTCTCTTTGGTTTGTTTTAGATGGTACAGCTAATAATTTTCCCCCGGAAGGGTTTATAATACAGTCCCCCTCACTGTCACGTATATATGACGCAATGCAACAAATGACTCCTGATGGCAAAATGACCCCCAAAAAGAAACTTTGTCCTATTTGTAAAAGCAGTATTAAAAGCGTTACAAAAACTGGACTAAAGGATTGATTTTTGATGCCTTGAAGGGTCAGTGGTATACTACTGATAAAATTATTAGTAGAAGACTATACGTGTATCTCCCATCGATCTATTAACAGTGGAATCGCGCACGTACATGCTTAGATTCTCCTCTAAACCCCCAGATCCTGTCGGCACATGCATCACCCAAGTCTTATTCACTACCGTGATCTCCAATGTTTGCTCTATCGGCAAGGTTTGATGCCTCCCGTTTGACCCATCAAGGTAATCACCTCCCCTTGTTGCTAACTTAGGCGCTAAATGAGGAATAAAAATACTCCCAACTTCATTTTTTTTGCCTTTCAACTCGAGCTCACAGCGTAAGACAGGCGATTTCGTGAAACTAGGTGACAAAAATGCCAACCACCAATCTCGCATTGGTGAAGGCACTTGAGGGCCGTGGGTCATTTAACCTCGGGTGTACCCGTCAAGCTTTACTCTTTCTTTGTTCAAGTCCTCAAAAAAGCAATTGTTAGCGATTTTACTCAGCATGGGCTCACAGAAAGGAGACAGAGGAGTGCAGCTGTCATCATCCAGTCAAGGCTTGATGTATAATTGATGCTGGAGTACACTTGAGTGTTAAGCATCAATTGGAGTGCAACTCACAATTAGAGTACATGAACTGGTTGTCATTGTCAATAATTATATTAACGTCACATAGCGTGTAAATTAGAGAATTTACAAGTGCAAACGGAGTCAAGTTTGCTGTGGCAGGAGCTTTGATTTGCAGCAAGACCGTTGCTATAGACAGCAATGAATTAAATAGACCGAATGGATGATGACGCTCTTCATGGACTCCCCTTTAAAGAAGCTGACTCGGTAAATCAATGCGATGGCTCTCAGCAATCCACTCCAAAGCCATGCAGACTGTAAAGAAGGAGAAGAGGCTGGCTGGAGAATGTGCCAGCAATTGACAGCAGATCCATCTCTTAATAGCCGTCTCCAAAGCCGAGGTGGTGACTACCGCTTGGAGCTTAGTATCTTACGGCTCCGGGAACCACCTCTAACCGTAGGCGTAGATAGATGGGTGGATATATGGAAAGGTACGGGATGGATGAGGGACAGATAGATTGCCAGCAAATGCTTAAAAGCCATCTTTTCTACCGATCTTGCCTAAAGTGGCGCTGAAGGCAGAAATCACTTGACTGTCTAGCTTCCGCAATCTTAACTGTGCAACGAAATTCCTACGACCAACGCACCACTTGACTCAAGTCTCAACCCAAGGGTTCGCACCGTCGGAGCACCGCCCTTTGGCACTGATAGCATTTGACTTTGTCAGTGCGTACGGTGAACTGTCGGGTAGAGTGTGAGGCGTAGGCCTCTTTAGACTTCGGCAACACGAAGGAGGTCGATTAAAGTAGATGTTGCGGGAAAGGCCCTGAAACTATTGTTTCCTCTACCTTTTATGGCGGCAGGGCCCTTTGCTTTTAGCATTTCACAGGCATGAGTCTTTCACTACCTGCTTGTGACTACTGATGACGTCTTCAGGACTGCCTTTGATTTTAACACTGAAAGGTGTGGCAACTCCTGCTGATGCTGTGAATTTGAACCAACTTTGAATGGGTCAGTTGGTTGCCAAAGGGAAAGGCAGAAGCTGGGATATTGGCAGGAAACCTGGACAACAATCTTTAAGTGATGTATATTGATGATTGAAGTGGTATCATGCTGAACCGACCCGAGCCCTCCCCTAAGGCATCTTGATTGGTGAAGTTTCAGTGGAATAGCTTGCTATGACTGCTTGACAGTGTTGCCTAAAACCCTCCCCTAGACAGGTCTTTGATTTTAACAGTTCCGACAGTTTCAGGACTTTAAAAACCGGTTACGAGTCAAAAGACTCGGTAGTTAGCCATTAATCTTCCATTAGGGTGGAAGGAACTTTAACACCGGCGTCAGCAGAGCCCTCCAGAGGTTCGCGTATGCTGCTACCATCGTCCGCCCAACGCGATGCGATGCGAGGGACCACTGACGTAAAACGAGATGATGATGATGATGCTTCAAAAAGGCGATCATTCCACAATTCAACCACTATTTGCGACTGGAACGGCCACCCGATGAGTAGCCTCACAGAGCCACCAAATAACCCTCCATTCTGTCCATTCTCGGCCTCCTGAATCCTGGTCTAGGTATATCCCTTTCTCAGTTTCGGAGATTGTCAAATCCTGTCTCTTGACAATCTTTTATGCCGACATTGCCTGGGAACCACCATTTAGTCGCGATAGTTCCGCTAATTCTACCATCCAAAACGGATTCGCGCTTTCCTTCCTCCACCCTCTAATGTGGCGAGATGCAAGTAGTGCAGCTAGGGTGGGGAGAGATATATGGGTGGCTCTTGAGAGACATAAATCAAAACAACCCTCAGTTTTTTGTCACTCCAAGGGAGTGGAAGCCCGCAAATGCGTGAATGTCGCTTGGATTGGCATTGCAGTCACCATAATTTAACACAAGTATCTTTACCAGACAACAGGGTGAAGAAACCGGCAAAGGTGTGTGCTACATTGGTTGTTGGCTGGCTGATTGAGATAGTGAGTGACTCCACTCTAGCGGACATGTCGTGCTTTGCATGACCTTGACCTTACCATGATCATAAGCAAGTATGAAATATGTCTTCATGTCGTATAAAGTCAATGAAGAGGACTCAGAGAGTGGAAGTTGGCAAATCTTCTGCCAGATCTGAGGGAATAGACTTCGAAAAACCACTCCTAAAAAGTTCAAATGAGAATCGTTTTCTGAAGGGGTAGATGCCCCCACCGAAAGCACATCAGTCAACTTAATAACGGCTCTGAATGATAAGTTTGGCACTAATGAATAAAACGGATAGGAAGGTCAACCTGAAAGCACGCAGCGCCCTTCTCTGCCTCATGAGAGCAACTACTACTGACAAATCGTGAGTAGGCGTGTCTGTGCAAGGCACGATCTGTGATAAGAGGCGTAATTTTACAGGATTTGCAAAACAAATTTTATTACTGGGTTGAATTTTAATGAGTATAATAGTCTACATATTTCAGTGCAAAATATTTCGTCACTAGACTTACTTCTCACAAAAGATGATGGGCCAGAATACAGACCATTCAACGGGCTCGTTGGGAAGTGGTGACATTGTTCAATGAAACCAGGGTTTGAGTGCTTGTAGGTTGAGTCTCAGACTCTGCTACTGACATCAGTTGCCGTCATCAATAAAAGCTAGGAGGAATTGATTCCCTTCCCAGTTGTAATTTGGTCCGCGTCGGAATGGAGGCACAACGTCCACAGACGAAAGTGCCCACGAAGTTAAACACACGGCTAAGCATTTCATCCAATCAGTACACTTTTGCACACCTTTGGATACTTAGTCTTAAAGATCAAAACCACTTGGTCTGAGAGAGAAGCACCACAGAAGCTATACCTTAAGGATAAGGTAAGTCATTTAGGAGCCAGGTATGGAGGGATAACTTCCGATTTCTCCCACTTTATTTTTTCCACAAATAGCTGCAGCCCACCTACATGACAAATAGGTGAAACCTTACCACTAAGGTCTGCCAAGGAGACTGTCGTTTTTGCTGCTTCTTTTTTATTGCTAGATAACATCGCCGGCTTTCACACCTCGGTGCCACACACTCGACCCTCCCATTGCACTAATCGTGAACACGTTGAAGGCAACCATTCAGGGCCCACCTAGCACATCTTGGACGCTATAGAGAAGGATTTTTCTAGGTGATCTAGCCATATCAAAAGCACATCATTACCTCGCAGTAATGGGCGGTCACAGAGCCAGCTGAAGTCGCACACAGGAGCAGTCCTATGGAACGACCTGTATGGACCTTCGGGAAAAAAGGCGGCCAAATAAATGACTGCTGCGAGCAATAGTTGACAAAGTGGAAAGTAACAATTTGAGAGGGCATTCCTTTTTAGCTTTAAAAAGGCACTGAAAAGTTTAATTTACAGCGGGTGATTCGTTGTCCCAATGTGGTGGACCAAACAGTTCAATATATGTGGTGGAATAAACAAGAAGTAGACGCATATACCTTTAAACACATAAATTATTTATTTATTTTATTGCTTTTAGATTACTCTTACTGCTTACGATGCATTTCCTGTTAAGGTGGCTGTCTTAAACAGGCAAAGAAGCGTCGTCACATATATGTGACGCTGGTGGTGCAAGTGCTGAACGTGAGTACTAGCCTTCTAAGTGATTACCCTTTCACAATAACCCTGTTTTGCAGAGAGATACAATATGAAAAAGGTTAGTGTGTGCATTGCACACAGACAAAGAGTATGAAGGTACATAAGTAAGGAAGAAAATGAAAAAAATCGTCGCTCCAGTCTATCACCTGAATGAATCTGCTAAAAAATGATCACACAAAATAACTTTTTCCTAACCCATCTTCTCTTAAGTCGAAGTAAAAGAATTAAAGCAAAAAAAAAAAACAAAAAGAGGGGTTTTAAATGGTCGGTCTCCAAAAGAAATCGCTTGGCTTATCGAAACAATCACGTTACAGAGGGCTCAAGGTCCTCCCTAAAGGAGACTTCAGAATTTTATTAGACCGCGGAGTGTGAATCCTTGCCATAAAGCCATCAAAAGAGGATTAGCGCCCATCGGACTGAGCTGCTCTGTCCTTTCACTGTAATAAGGATGGCAAAATCAGAGTCATGAAGATGAAAGAACCGGAGTGGTCAAATGCACAGTTCTAAATAAACGCCTATTCCGGTTATGAATGCTTTTTGAAATAAAAAATCCATTTGTTTATGACATTTTTTTTGAGTTTGCTTTTCAAATCTGCTTAGCTGCAGATAATCTCATCACCTATTTTGTTGTGACACCCACCCATCAAAATAACAAGGCGGACTGATATTTTGATTGGCCTTAACAACCACCCCTACTTTACACCTGCTCACACGATGCCATTTGACACGACAGTCAGACCCTTTGGCCTCCCACCACCCGCCATCTGCTTCCGGCGCTGTGTATCATTTACACGAGCGGGGAGATTTGGACACGCGTTTGAATAGGGAATAGGGCGATGGAAAAAAAGGGGAGGAAAATTCGGAGCACAAAATACTGGTAAGATAAGCCCGTCTTTTTTCCTGTAAGAAGCACCGTATCTTAAACCTCGACCTCCTTTATGGCCACCTTCTGTCAGTTCACAGCGCTAAGCGATAGTAACATTTGCTATAGGGATCACTCGGAAGGATGAAGTGGCTGCCACAGCACAGAAAAGGGGAGTAAGGGAAAGGATTGGGTGACTGTATTTCAAAAAATCATTAGCAGCCTCCGCCTTCCTGTCACCAGTCCACTCACAGTGCATTTTGGCGTAGCCAGCTGTCAGGACCTGATAAAGAAAGCGCAATACTCATGCTTGAAATTGATAGAGCTTCACCCATCAAGTCCGAGGAATAAATTTAACTGTTCAGGGCTATGATTTATTTTTTATTTTGCGTAGGATTTCTATGCATTGGCCGGTAGGGGTGTTCAACTACTCAGGCACTTTATTCTTCTGCTATACTTCCACTTTGGGCTGGAAACCGAGGCAAAGTTTCCACCTACTGATACCTTTAGTTAGTAGTATGCTCCCCTTTAATAATTAGGCTTATGACGACCTCCCAATGTGGACACCCAGGTCTTCGTTAAAGTCACAATAGGTGGCGTGGCAGATCACTTACCACTAATACATGGAAAAGCTGAGAGAGACTGCGGAGTCCAAGGTGCCCGGGCAGTTAAGCGCCCAGTAAAACAAATCACAAAACCGCCGTAAACTTTATGAGTGTAATTTTTCAATGCACCTACAAAATCTTAGTGAAAACCATAAAACACCCGCAGTGTGGAAAGAGTGCATTCGTGTCCCTATTCCTGTCGGTGTAAGGGCGGAATGGCCCTCGGCAATTTTTTATGGGCCACGGACAAACTGTGGGAGCAGCGTTGTCGCTACTGTAAACAGATGTGGGCGGGTGTGCTCCCAGGGTTCACAGGACAATAAAATGCAAAGGCCTAAAGTGAGCCCTTCCCATGACAGTGTAGACTTCAAAGTAGGCGGTTGTAAAGCGCCTCAAGTGTTCCCTCAACTCGAGATAAGCCAAGGGAGGCTACGAGCATGACCCCTAGGCAGTCCAGTCTAGTCCCAGACATTGCTGATTAGGTGAACTGACAGAAACGGTGAAATTTGGATGTATGCTACAGCAGAAGACGTTAACCTCCAATTCAGCCTAACGCCAGAATACTTCGATGTTAAGCAGTGGGCAACCCGACGTCCGCAAGGTTGGTTTTTAAAGGCAGGCAGAGAGGCTGAGACTGACAGTATGAGTGGCGCAGTCACATTTGTTGTGTTGTCGCGTTGATTTACGCCTTAAGACGGAAGGGACAATAGAGGTAGGGAAAGATACTAACGCAAGTTATTAAATCAACTTAATAAAAATGTTTGGGCTTTAATTGGGATAGGAGGAAAGAGGGAAGGGAGGTAGAAAGGGGAAGAGAGACACCGCTTCCGTCCTCTCACCATCCTCCGCCTCCGCATTCTCACCCTCCCCATTACGCAATTGCTTTGATGCTGCTTTTTCCCAGGTCATATTTGTCACCCTTTTTGGACAAAGTAAGTTTCATTGTACGTGTGAAAGCCGACAGGATACAGCTGGGAGTTGCAATCGAGATGAATTATTTTACTGGCATACAGTGACAAATCATTCTTGAATGTGAAGGAAAAAATCACAAAGTGCCAAGTTTTTCATCAAATAAAATGTTGATTAAGCATGGAACTAATTGTAAATTACCAACAGTAAAAATAGGGTATTCATTTTTTCTACAAATATTTTGAACTTTTCTTGCCACTGTCATCTACCACCATTCGACATGTCATAAGATGCCGGCGCTAAAGATTAAATCGTTTTAATATCTTTGACAGAAAAAAAAATAAGATGTCTGTCTAGTCTTACGTGAACTGACAATTCTGAAATTTTATTTGTTTGTATCGCCTGCGACCTTAACAACATCTTCAAATCCCCGTACCGCAGACAAGTTATTCGTTACGAAGGTGTCCGTTATATATTTTAAACTTTACCCGTCTAACTAGGTGCCTTAAGTAGAGGTTCTTTTAAAAAAAAAAATTTTAGAAACTTTTGCTTTCAATTTATTGTCTAATATTCTTAGAGGATCAGATTGAAAATTGTCCATAAACTGCAAGGTTTTTTGCATTTAATTAAAAGAATTTTTACCGCTTATTGCGGAGCCCAAGCTCATTACTCTATAGGATATAGGCTTTTGTTTAGACTATAATTGGAAATTATTTCCAACAGAAAAAGATCAGCTAGAATTACTGTCATTCTGGGGAATCCGTGGTGCTTACGGTTTCTACAACCATGCGCACACTGCTCATCATAGTGTCAGCAGAAACATTTACGCCTTCCAGCTACCCTTCTGTTGAAGGGCTAGGAGCCACACTACCTCATCGCGCAGAAAGTTTGCGTTTACAAGCCACCTTGTTAGCCGCCGTTATTCTAACTCAGGCGCATACATTGATGCCTGTCATCCGCGATGACGGAGTCTGGAATATCGACGGCAGTGGGACCCGCCACTACTAAGAAAGAAAATATTTTTATCAATGGCAAATCGGCAGACCACAAATTTTTCTCCACTCCTCGTTTTCCAATAAAACTTACAAATGAACGAAAATGTCAAATATTGAAATTTCAACAGTTATAAGAGGTTTGGGTAAGGTCGACGATAGGCTGGACGGACTGTTATCAGAACTGCCATAAATAAAGTGTATTGTGCACCATAATGGTTTTTTTCGCCTTAAGTGGAGTCGCAGTCGGGCAGGACACAAAAAGCCTATAAGTGTGGTCCCTCATTTTGGCTTGTACTCCATGAATAAGTCCTCCTCTCTCCATGCTAGCGATAATGACTTGAAAGCCATACAGCTGGGCATGGAGGAGTACGGTCCGCCTAGAATAAAGTGCTCCCATGGTTAAACAAAGCATCAAATCTCGGCACAGGCCCTCTCTTTCTCTGAGAGTTGTCAACTTTCCGCGTCGGTGTTTAGAAAGGCCACTCCCTAACACACCTTGGCAGCTCTTCAGGGAACCTGAGTTTTGTCCTGCTTGGGAACCGAACTAGGAGGTAAGGGTGGAATTGCACGGACTTTCTACTGCACACGATCGGATGTTGTTGTACAAATGGAGCCTCCCGCTTACCATCTTCTATTTAGGAGGATATTTAATCTAATAGCAGAGGCGTTTAATAGAGAACTGGACCTAAACCAGTTTCACTTAGCTGCGATGCACTGTTACTTCACTTCACATTTTAGATTTTTAACAAGCTACGCCAATATGCCAACCTTTTCACTAATGTGTTGCCCTCGTCTCGGCAATCCGACACCTCTCGACACCGATTGACGTCATAAGGTGGGCGTATTTGCATTGCCATTTGCCACAAGCTCTTTTTTAGTGCTGGCATAATCTGTAAGTCGTTTTCCACAGTACAGGAAAAAGTACAAGATTTTGAGTGGCTCTATTCTACTCGGCGGGCCTTGGCGCCAAAACCATTTGGAATAGGCTTCTCCTAAATTGAAATAAAATAAACTATTCTTTTTTATAGGGGAAGATATACCTATCTACGCCTTGTATTTGAAGAATTGATGCTTTATTTGACTGTATGTTCACCTGCACGGGCACTTCAGTGTCTATATTTTAGCCTTCGAGCCATATTAATAGCCTCCTGATCCGCTACTTATAAGTAAGTAAGTAGTGTACCCCCTATTACTAGCTTACCGCAACTTCGAGAAAAGGGGGCTTAGAACCTCGGACACATTACATAACTTAGAGGTTCCATTAGAAGGATTGCGGATGCCACCTGTACTCCACCTCAAAAGCCATCACCCTACTACTCTCCTCAAATTGGAGATTGACAAGGTCCAAAAAAAAGCGTTTAACCTCTCCACTAGATTAAAGGCTCAAATTATTGCGCTTCCCAAATTCATGAGCCATTCTAGTAGTTCGAAAGAAGTACCTTTGCTCTAGGATACGCTTCTACTAAAAAAATTCAAAGGAAAGACAAGATTTCTCTATTTCTTGCCTGATTATGGGCAGTGTAAACAACCCCCCCTTCACTTCCTTTGTACTGCTTCCGTGAGCACCATGAGGTGCCTCGAGGGGTGAACATAAATTTGGAAGCTAAATGGGCTGTCACTCAGTATCTCGCGTGGTGTGCAAACGAGGCAGAGAGCTGTGCGGTGTGGGCCATGCACCACCTGCCATCTGACATGGTGTGCAATGCAAATTTGTTGGTCTGCTACCTTTCGCTCTCATGACCTTGCTTTAAGGAAATCTGTTAATGACCTTGTGCTTTGTCAGTTGGTGATATTTTCTGCCCCAGATTCCCGCTAGTTGTTTTCTAGAAGAAGAAAAAAGGAGAAACAAGTGTCCTTTAAGTGGTTTATTTTGAAGGTCGTGGCGATGTCAAACGACCAATGAAGAATCGCGAAGCGTTGACAGCATAAATGATGAATTTAGCCACTTTGGTTTTAAAAAAAAATTAATGTAGCATGAAATGGGCCCGCATAAATCACCGAAAGTGCGTTGTTTAGGAAAATACGATAGATTTTTGTCACCACACTCTGATGAAGTGCATAGACTTCGCGATTGAAAGGCTTTCCACGATCTCCTCTGGAAACAACCAATCACGAGGCTGGAACCAACACCATTCATTGGCCTGTCTTTAAGGTGAATAAGGTAGGGGGAGCACTCAATAGTTTGTTCTCTTTGGGAACTTTTCTGTCGATTTCGCTAGCCTCGGAAGACCAAAAGAGGCGTGGAAGCACTGGAACTCATCTGAGGGCAGTGTGCAAGATGGTTTTGTTGAATTTGTAGTTTACACGGGCCTCTCCCTACCCCTCTACCCCCCCTTACCAACATGTTCCCGTCCGAACGCCTTCCACTCATTATCTGAGTCACAGACAGCCAATGATGACTTGGAAGAAAGCATATTTATTTCCGAGGAGCCACCACAGAAGAGGCCAAATCCAAATCTGGGGGTATCTTCTTGCAGAGGAGAACCTGACCACAGCGGGGTGGGAGATGACAAGCTTATTAGCGACGAGGGTTGAGCACGTTTGTCAGCCCATGGAATGGCTGATCGTATCATGGAGCTACACAACTGCTGAATCCGTCAAAATTCATCCACCAATCTCACCAAGTCGGGGCTCATAGGGCCGTCTAGGGGACATCTACCAGATAATCAGTCATCCCTTAACCGAAGCTATCTTCCAGAGACTACTTTTTAGGGAAGTTTGTCCTTTTGCTCCCCTCCATGGTAAATCTTACCCAGTTCCAGGGTGATATGAAAGTCCCTCGTCCTCCTTACGTCATACAGTCGTGACGGGCACAACGGTTTACCATGTGACTACTTTTAGATTCTTACAAACAAAAACCAATTTGTTTTACAATGCACTTTTAAAATCCGCGGTATGACGCAGATGTGATTTTCCACTTGCCCAGTTTAGAACAGCCTTTACATCTAGCCTATACTTTTCCCCTTTTCCCCCTTCCCACATATTTCATTTCACTTTGGAATTATATTCGCTTTGTTTGCATTTTTGGGACTGGAAAAAAAAGTAAGTGGCGCCGGCACAGGATAATTCGGGGCAATCAATGAACCCGCGAAGCGTCGACCAATTGCCGCGACGGAGGTCATTCACCTTGACTGTCATCGCATGCCCGCTCGCCCCCTCACAATCACCCGCTGGATTTAATGTATTTCACACTGGCGTTATACAATTCTCTCTCTCTCTCTCCTTTAATTTATTCCGCGCAAAAGGCAGACTATTTTCCATCCACGCCTTGCAGAATGGCACGGCTGACTCATTAGGCGGGGCTTGCATCTCTCTTAAGGAGATGACTTGTGTCCCCATTTTTTGATGCGTCAGTTAAAACTGACGCTTGACTCTATCTCCCCTCTTCTTTTAAAAGAAAAGGTCACTAAAAAGCACCAATTTTAAGCAATTTTTCAGGAAAACTTAATACAAGGCGACTAGCTCAAAAAACTGCTGATCGCGCCAAGGTGGTGGCTGAACTGCGGGGGTTCCGAAGAGGCCGCTCAGGTATTTGGGCAGTTCAAACAAACTTTGCAAAGGTTGTGTCATTGTCTATGAGAGCATGCACACGTGCCTTTTACGGTTTATGCGGATCTAGAGAATTTATCGCCACCCCATCTTGTTGGGTGAATCGACCGAGTCAGTTGGCGCAGCGCAAGCTCCTCTTTTCCACCTTACTGTCATCCGCTTTCCATTTGGTAGTTGGAAGCGGTTCGGCAAATAATTCCAGTTTCGTTCGGTGGTGCTGCTAATCTGCGAGGACGTTGCTGAGGGTACGAGACCTTCTGTCAAAAATCTGGACGATTTCAACTATCCAAACCGAGTTAATTTACCATCTACAAGAGTGTAGCACATCTAGTCGCCCCCGGAGGTTTGGCAAGGTATACCAGTAGACCTACGGAATGGTTCGATAAAACACCGGATCATCAGCATGAGAGCGAAACCGCAGCTATTTTGCTGAGGATGCCTTCAACGGGAGAAATCTCTTCCGTTTCCCCAGTCTTGGCCAAATTCGCGCTCTTGACCAACTACCCTGCGCTTTGTCAATGCTACACAGACAGCTGAGGAAGTAAAAGACTTGAAACGGACGGCGTACCTTGTACAAGACGATTTCACGGCCGCCTTGTGGCCTGTCGGACAAATCAAGTGTGCTGCCATGGTGACGTGTAAACAACCCACTTCTGCCTCCATCTCCATCCCCCACAGCCCCCCTCTCTAAGCCAATTTACTAAATTTGGTTGCTACAGCTCGCTGTGTTGCTCATCGTCCACTCTGCCTCATTCCTTTATAACAAGCGGTAGGCAACCTCGGTGTACTTACCCTGTTCATTGACAGGGCAAGAATTCTTGCCCCCTTTACACTGGAGTGAAAGGCGCATTGTGTTTATCTGGTGTAATAGGGTCACATCAAAACTACCAGAGTCATGGGTTTCGTTTACTAATCACTAATTTGTCAGGCGCCGGTGAGATAGGTGTTCGATCAAAGCTAACCCTTCTGCAGTCAGTCAGAACGGTTGTTGTTCTCCACTTTCCATTTTTCAGGACTTGGCACGTCAAGTCGTCTGATGAGAGATATTCATGCAGCCATTCTACTAAGATCTAGAATACAATCACTTCAGTGTGTTCGACTGATGTCACTCCTGTCAGTAGCTTACTTGCCCCCTCTCGGTTTGACTTGGACTCTAAAGTTGGTTTTGGGAGAGTGTGGAAAAAGACATCTTTTCTTAGTCTCTGCGTCTGTTCAGAAGACTCACAACGTTTCTCCTTTCCACCTCCTGGTCTCTAACACATTAGCGAAGATTGAAGTACTAAGAAGTAGTGGTGACGAATTTGGTCTACCAATCTTTTTTCCACCAATAAATGGTGATTGGTTGCCTTTAAAAAGTGATTTTTGTTTTTAGGGGTCCCAATCGAGATTGACATCCTGCACAGTAGTAGTGTGGAAATTAGAGT